ATTAGTTTCTGGTGACCTTCAAAATTCGCGTGATTTGATAAAAACTTTAACATCTTAAAACTTAAGAAATGTGTGCTGAAAGCCTCAATTTTAAAGTCTAACTGAACACCATTTGCTGGTCCAACAATTTGGAACGCCCTTCCTGTCGTTCTCAGAAACAGCCAGGCACAGGAGTCCTTTAAACCCGAATTAAAGACACATCTATTTCGCAAACACCTTCTGGGATGATTGTCTACCATATTTTCCAGTTAATCTATATTGGCTGTGTTGTTTAGGGTTGAAATGGGTAGAAAGACTTTGACTTGGTATGTTTGTAATTAGTTTTTGTAGTGTTGCGTTTGTTTTAAATGTGGTAAATTATAGATTTGTATTTTGTTGACTTTGTCCCGCGCTTCGAGCCTTTGGGGATGAAGCGTGTTTTTTTAAATAAACTTTATTATATATATATATATATATATATATATATATATATATATATATATGTGTGTGTGTGTGTGTGTATGTGTGTGTGTGTAAAACATCGAGCCTTTGGGGATGAAGCGTGTTTTTTTATATAAACTTTATTATATATATATATATATATATATATATATATATATATATATATATATGTGTGTGTGTGTGTGTGTATGTGTGTGTGTGTAAAACACGGGGCCCCTAAAAGTCACGGCCCCACTAGCCGCGTGCCTCAGTTGTCTTTGGGTCAATCCAGCACTGAGCACCTCACCACCACACCCTCGTCCCAAATCCAAAATTAGGATTTGTTGGACAGAACCACGAACACAGAGAACTTCTCTGAGAAGTAACTCTGAGAGATGAATGAACTATGTCAGTTACATTTGTGTCACTTTTGATATGATTATTTTTTTCCCCCTTTAGCTGGCGTATTTACATGGGAGCGTGAGAGTGTGATCGGTCAGAGCGATGCGTTTTAAGAGCTTCGGTTGGGGCGTGATTTGTTGTTGTTGTTGTTGTAGTTGTTGTTCGTTTATCTGTAAATAATAAAATGTTTTATTAAGCAGGCAAGTTTACGCGGCGAGTTAATTGAGCTCATCGTGATCAAGAATGGTATAAATATAACATAAAGTAAAGCATGGTCGAGATTGTTGAGTTCGTGATGATAAAAAGGATTATATATATATAGCCTATATATATAACACGATTTTTGCTTGTTACAATGAACTTATATATATATATATATAGAGAGAGAGAGAGAGCGAGAAGGAGAGAGAGAGCGAGAGCGAGAGAGAGCGAGAGAGAGCGAGAGAGAGAGAGAGATTATGTAAAACAAGGTTCGGAAAAACATTCGAAAAAACTATGAAACAAAATGAAGCGTACTGTTTCAGAATGTCCCGTACTTTGCTAATGTCCCGTACTTTGCTAATGTCCCGTACTTTGCTAATGTCCCGTACTTTGCTAATGTCCCGTACTTTGCTAATGTCCCGTACTTTGCTTTACAAATATTTTTTTTTAAAACGTTGGCCTATTTATTGAGTTCAGCCTCGATAAGAGTGCTGAGAACTTCACAAATATACATTATAAAACGTTATTTATAATTGAAACAAAATAAATGTGTTAAGATATATTATGGTAAACATTACATTAGATCTAAATTAAAAAAACAAAAACATCAGAGATTATAATTTTTTTCTCTTGTAAGTTATGATGTACTCTGGGTAGCACCGACTCGTGTCATACACAACAAACTCTCTGAAGAGAACTCTGATGTCACCAGGTGAAGCGTCGAGCGTAACAGAGTCACAATGATGGTGGCTTACATCGGCGCATGTGTCGCTTTCACACTTAGCACATGGGGGTCTCTTCAATCTAGGGGCACCTTGGCGTACGCCATAGACAAAACATAAAGATGAACTTCCAATGGGAATGTCAAAGTCGGTCAAATCGGCTTATTGAAATATATCAATACTTGAATACAAAGATTGTCCAATGAATTAGCCAGTGGCCGATTATCACAATAATATCAAGGGTCACCTAAACTGACAGAAAGGACACCGGGGAACATACTTTCATTAATGAACTGTCTTTTACCCTTCAATAAATCCGAAATTCAATTATTTACATAAAAAGTATTTACGCTACTAAGCGATATTTCTTTTATATATGTTATATACAGGGTGGGCCAATAAAAGTGAGAACATCTCGTAAGATATTACGCTACGAAATGTTCTCACTTCTTTTGGCCCACCCTGTAGGTGCTGTTTTAACTTTTAAATTAAATATGTCTGTATAGATACTTCTCTTACTTTTGAACATAAATATGCTTTATGTTTGTACGGTTTTAACCTTTAAATATAAATATGATATATGGGTGGTGTATTTACTTTCAGACATAAATACGCTATATAGGTACGGTTTTAACTTTTAAACATAAATATGCCGTATAGATAATAGTCTAACTTTTGAATATAAATATGGTAATTAGGTACTGCTTTAACTTTTCAACATAAAATGTTCAATGTTAATTCAAATTTTAAACATAAATAAGCTGCAAGGTTACTGTTTTAATTTTTAAACAGAAATATGCTTCATAGATACAATTTAAACTTTGAAACATAAAATCACTTGTAAACAAAAAAAAACAAAAAGAAAAAAAAAACCGGGGAATCTAGGGTTGAATCTGCTTTTCTGTAGGGTGTAGTAAGTGGTGTATGCAACTGCAAAATGGCTTAGTTTAGTTCAATTGCAGGAAGTTTTAAAACTGAGTACCTGTCTGTATCCTTTTGTGATCCTTGTTGACGACGTAAGTGTTCCCTAGTAAGGCTCGCATCAGAAACATTTTCTGCTCCACTCCAAGTGGTGTGCGGTTCGCCTTTTCATCTGTTTAGATTTTAGATGATCAACACGATAGAGATGAGTTGTTCAGATTTTTTTTTTTTTTTTTTTTTTTTTTTTTTAAAACTGAGATGTATTTAGTCACTGCCGTAGGAAAGTGCGCGCTCAGGGAGAGGGGGTGTTCCGACCCGTATGGCTTTTTCTATATATTGAGGTACGGCATTTTGGCCAGCTGAAGAGGTTGTTTTTTGTTTTTAGTTGTGGTGGGGGTGGCAGTGACCCTAGCTACGCAATTCCATTTGGTACTCACCATTTGGAGCTAATTTCATATATTTTAATTTTTTGGTAAACGTGCAACTGATTGCCCTAGTACGTCAGACATGATACGAAATTCGTATAGGGGCATGACGTATTACACTAGCTTTTAATATTTGATTTAGCAAGAATGTATAATAAAATAACTGTTTCCTTACGCAAGCGCGCAAACACACACACACACACACACACGCACACACATATATATATATATATATATATTTATATTTATTTATATATGTATATATATATATACTGTTGCCGAAATATTCTTCTTCTTCTATATATTAAGGGCCAACGATCAAATAGGTCAACCACGGATCATATTTTTACTTTTAGATGTCTCCTGGGGAAATGTTACGAATATAACATTGACATACACCAACTATACGTGGATTTCAAAACAGCATACGATAGTGTAGACAAGAATTACTTATACAATGCTCTACAAGAACGTGTAGTCCCTAACAAGCTTACTCGGCTCATACATATGACGATGGCTACCTCTAAAAGTAGAATCAAGGTACATGGAGAATACTTGAGTAAGTTCAAAGTCAATCGAGGCCTAAGACAAGGAGATTCACTATCACGTATCCTGTTTAACATCACGCTTGAAAAAGTAGTTAGAAGCATACTCGTGAGCACCAGTGGAACCATAACAAGCTACTTCCAGAAAGGTTTTAAAGAACAACAACCATCAGGAACTTTATATAGCCAGCCATTGCAGTACCTGGCATACGCAGACGTTATGGCGCTTGTGGGTGGAAACAGAAATGACATAATTAAAGCATACCGGGAACTTGAAAATACCCCAGTCAAACCTGGTCTTGGCGTAAATGAAGCGGAGACAAAATATATGATAATTTCATGAAACCCCAACGCTGATGACAACACCAGTACAAACAGCCACACATTTGAGAGAGTGGCTACATTAAAATATCTAGGTGTGACTATACACGAACACAATCAAATAATGTCGGCAACCGTTCCTATTTCAGCCTACAAAAGCTACTGGGAAACAAAAACCTCTTAAACAAAGAAGACAATGTACACCACTATCATAAAACCAGTAGTAACTTACGCCAGTGAAACTTGGACCCTTACCAGAAAAGCAGAGAAACTTCTCCATACATGGGTGAGGGAAATCCACAGAGAAATATACGGCTAAGTGATGGAAAATGATGTCTGCAGAATCAGTAAAAACCAAGAGCTATACCAATTGTACAAAACCGACCCATGGTCGCAACAATAAAATAGGGCAGAATGCGCTGGCCAGGACATATTGCAAAGATGCCGGAATGTAGAGCAGCAAAGGTGATATACAGGCAAAAACCTATAAGCAGACGCATGAAAGCGGAAAGCTATGGATCGTCCCACATGGAAGAATATGGCGGAGCAGGCCATGGCCCTGACGTTTTGGTTGAACGCTCTTTTTTAAACATTTCTTCAAATGTTCAAATAATCCCATCACAATGGTTGAAGGCGGTCTCATTCATATTTGGAAACCTTCACTTTCTACTTTCTCATAATTTTTTCGGTTGATTAAATTTATTTCTTGGTTAACTATTTTTTTGAGGCAAACATTTTTGAGCCAAGTTTCTTATTTGTTTTTTTTTTACTTTATTGGTTTAGGTTTTTTCCGTTCGGTTAGCACGGATTGCAGCCGAGGCGTCCGCTGTGTTGATTGTTGTTTTTCAAGCTTTTCGGCTTCGTGTTATTAAGATTTCTCTTTCCTCAGCCGGAACACGGTCCCTTAAATACCTGTGTTAACTTCGCGCGGAAGAGAGTAAAATTAAAGAATTATACTAAAATATATAGGGTAATTTTTCGTATAAAAGTTCTACTTGCTATGAAAAATAAACCCAGTCCTCAACCATAACAAGTCAAAGTAACTATTTTATTAAAAAGAAGTTACCTGCGTACTGATCCGACTTGATTGATGCCTCCGCTAAATACAGGCCACTACCAAGCATTGCGTGTGTGCAGAGTTTGGGATCAGGGCCATGTTGAATCAAAGCATCAACTAGGGTCGTTTTTGTTCCATGAAAAAGATAATGCTCATTGACTTCATGATACAGTTGTTCTCTTAAAGAGCTTGGAAGTATCTCAGTGGTTTTGATCTGTCCCCTTGGTAAAGTTCGACTGAAATCTTCACACAGATTGCCGAACCTACAATATTTTTCAAATAAATTTTTTCGTGTCTGTGCATAAGACTCAAAAAGAGCACGGTTCTCAATCCTCTCAACATGCAACACCTCGCAGCCCATGTTAGCTACTAAACCTTTGGCATCACTTCCCATTCCTGACTTTGTGGAATCCCAAGTTTTTTTAAATAGTTCAACAATCGCCTTTTTTGTTGTTTTGTCAACTCGTACTATGAGCTCATGTTTTTTGTCTGTGCCTGCAACGGGATAATTTAAACTACCTAAAATGCGCTTCCAAAAATTTGGCTGTTGACAAAATGTCCAATACGAAGGGCATATTTCAGAAATATTTGCTGCATATGATAAAAAAGCCAGAGTACCTCGCCGTGGGGCATCGCTGGAGGCAAAATTTTTATTTTGCATAGCGGTTTGTATTTTATTCAACTCAGTTCTTATGACACTTTCCAGCTCCTTGACATGTTTGTCAAATCCTTTAATCGTCAGTTTTGTCATAGAACGTTCTGTCGATCTCATGACATGTATTAATTTATTTTCAGCCTTTTCTTTCACCATTTCGTCTAAGACTGACAACATGGCATGTTCGAAACTCACACTATGTAAACATCTCTTTTTGATCAGTTTGGTTACGTTTCTAAGTGTTTTATTCGGATCATCTATCCTCGCCATTGTGACAGAGATTTCTAAATTTCCAGGTGCTCCCAGATCTAATGCCTGGTCATCGACGCTGTCGGCTCTTCTGTTCCCTCCACTAGACTCGACGCCGCGAGATGTTTGCAAGTAAGGTTTCAGCTCCTGCCGTGCAACCAATTTAAGGGCGTCAAACATTTCTCGATCGAAAGTCATTATGATGACGTCGTCGAGCTCCTTGTTTGATTGTAGATATGACTTCAGTGTACCTATCAATATCTCAGATATGCGTTCCGATGGAAATTTGAACAGCTTGCCGTGTCCCAAAGTAGGAAGCGAGACAGACTTGGCTCCTATTTTGACGGCTTCCACTAAAACATTAGTAATTACCTTTGCTAAAATAGTTGGTGATGAAACCTCATCCCAAACGCTAAGTATGACGCCACATACAGCAACACAGGATGATAAAGGGGGCGAGAATGGTCCTTTTACTATATGGACAAGAGACGACGGGTTCTGTTTCTGAAGTGTTTTGAGCTGCTCATGTAGCTGAGGACAAGCTCTGTTAAAGCCTTTTCCAACCTGTGTTTTTCTTAAACTGACAGATTCATCCAACACACACACACGCACGTCGGCTTTCTCGGTAATGATATCTCCAGTTTTCAGTTGAATTCTACACGGTGTACCAGCATTAAAAATGTCAGGATTAGTCTGAGAGTTGTTTTCCTTATTTTTAAAGCTAGAATCGCGTGGCAGTTGAACTCTGAGAATGCATTTCTCCTGAATTTCAAGCTTCTCAATTTTACTTTTCATTTCCTCCGTCTTTAATCCTAAAGCTATAAGCTTAATATCTTCTATATCGAAAGACTCCTTTTCAAAATCTATCTTCCGAGTCACTATGTTACTCACATACGACTGTAGCGAACTGTCCGCTTCATTGACCGAGCTTTGTTCACCGGTAAAAGTGTAAGTCATTGGACCATTGTCATCGCCCTCATCATAAGTCCAGTCTCTAACATTTTTGAATATTGATTTAATTTTAGACGACGGATACCTACGTATGTAATTGGCCACATAACCTTCAATAACAAATGTTTTAGTAACTGCACTAAACTTTTCAATTAATAGGTTTATGTCCTTTGTTGCTAGGAGTACATCGCCTTTGAGCCCTTCAACAAATATTTCCTCTTGGTTTACATTCCATGACACTTGAACTAATAGCTTTTCCTCTAAATTTGTCTTCAGATTATCCAGTTCCTCCTGTGGTATCTTGCCATTTTTTATTTTGAATGTATCCTTATAGTTTAAAACCTCTCTCAGTTTTTTAGCGGCGTTGCTCAAGGAATTTATGCTTTTTGAAGCGAGTAGCAGCTCGTCCTTATCGACACAGTATGCTACACTTTCCATTTCTCTAAGACTTTCTAAAAAAGTTGTTCCCTTTCCTCCCGCGAGTAACTGAGGCAGGCAGCCCTCTAACTTCAGATTATCGCTTACGATATCTCTAAGGTCCAAAAACATATTCCAATGGCGATCAGACACTTCTCTTCCGCCACCTTCAAAAACTGCAATTTTCTCAACATGTATGAATTGGACGCTACAGTTGTCGAACGTACCAAAGTGCTCCTTCAGTAGCATATATTGTGCTTTGGTCATCGCATGCTCTTCTCTTTCCCTTGAGAGACTTTTTGTTTCGGAGGATAAGGAAACATTTTCAGTTTTTTCAAATTTTTTAAGTGTTTCATCTTTAGATTTTGCCTGTTGAAAATCATTTTCATTTTGTTCTGTATCTGATAGATTCTGTTCTCCTTTGCTGTCATCATAATCAGTGTCAACTGCACGCATTTTCTCAAGACAAACACGGGTTTTCTCATCCTTCTTGTCAGTGTTTTCTTCCAAGCAGTCATCTTCCGACTCTGAGTATGTGCTATCTCCATCGCTTCCTGTTACATCAGAATAATTGCGCTTATGTCTGACACCATTTTCCTTTATCTGGTCTTCACTGCTGTAACTCACATCTGATTCTTCTTCACTATGTACTTCTCTGTCGCTTTGGTCTTCTCCACTGTCACTTGGTTCTTGTTCGTCAATACGTTCGCTACCACTTTGGTATTCGCTGCTGTCATCTGATTCTTGTTCACCAATAATTTCCTTACCCCTTTGGTATTCACTAGTGGCATCCGATTTTTGTTTACCAAAACTTGCTCTACCATTTTGGTCTACACAGCTGTCATCTGATTCTTGTTCACCAATATTTTCTGGATCACATTGGTCATCACTACTTTCATCAGATTCTGATTCACTTTCACTGGAGTCCTCTGCTTTATACTGTGATTTGTTTTTTCCGTCTGAACGCACTGGTGTTTTGACGCTTAGTCTTGAGTCAGGCGTAAATCGCTTCTCCACTAAATCGTGGAAGTTGTAGTAATAGGGTTGGATAATGACGGTAACACCTCTTACTGGTTGGTGTTTTTCTTTTTCAAATAACTTGCTTACTACTGCAAAAAAAAAGAATTAAAAAAAAATAAAATTGTAGAACATATTGATAAATGATCATTAAAAATATTTAATTTATAACCATATTTATCAAAATTATTATAACTTTGAGGTATGGTGCATCGATAAATTTATTCAAAGAACTCTTATTTATAACAAAGAACAAGTAAAAAATAAAAATAAATTAAAAAAGTTGTCTTCCACTAAAACATTTTTGTTTCAAAACAAAATAAAAAAGGTGAGTCCCCAGCTAACCTAAATTCTACGCTATCCATGACTCCAGATAATTTCTTGTATAACCATTACTATAAAAATTCCAGATCTACAGCTAAAAAAAAGATGTATATACTCATTTTGAGTATTTTAAATCTTTACTTAAGTTTTTAGAGCAGGCATTTCGAAAATATGACGATAATAACACAAGCAAATAATCGAATATATTTAGATTAGTGTAAGTGCATCGCATTTTGAATTGAATATGATCGATTACAAAGTGTCTTTAAATTAACTTACTATTACTTACATTTGTCAGCTCCTGACTTGAAATGAATTATTCCCAAATTATATTTTGACCAGAATTTGCATGCTGAAACGCAGCTTCTGCCATGTAAAAATCGCTGTTTAATATACTGAGATGTTTCTTTGAGAGCGTGAGGCTTGACATCATATATAACAGCAGCCCTTGCTTCCTTTTTATCAACGGGCAGTAATTTTATGGTCTGGCCTTCCAGTGATACTTTTTTCACCTTTTTTGCAGCTTCTTCGAAATCTGAAAAGTACATCAATGAAGTTTTGTTTGAATACGATAATAAATAAATGACTGCGCTGAAGTCGTGTAAAGGAAATAGTATTACAAGGTATGTGGAAGATTGAGGAAGGCTCTGAGCCGAAACGTTCATTTCTTATTGTCCTGTCTTTTCTTCTTCTATATATTAAGAGTCCACGATCAATTTTTTTATCTTTCTGGCTCCTATGTATGTAGAGGGTACTTACAATCTTTCTGTGCCTGGTTTTGATGAGGATATTTCGCTGGTTGCAAGAACTACTTTGTGAGGGTGTCATGCAATGGGGGTTGGATGGCTTGAGGCAATAGACGCAAATGTGTCAAGTGTTGTCGCCTCAACTGTTCCTTTTGGAAGCTTGTTCCAGTCCCTGATTGTCTATGGAAGCAATGAGCAGTTCCTATACTGGCTTGTCGCTGGAATGAGCCAGAACTGCTTGTCATGGCCTCGTCGCTGTTTATGGGGGAGGGGGCGAGTTTATGTTTAATGCTTTACCAGTGGATCAGCACATTTTTGTACATCATGGAGAGCCTGGATTGTCGTCGTTGTTCCTCCAATGGTGACAAGCCCAGAGTTTCCAGCATGCTGCCAACAGTAGAGGTATTCCTGTGGCGGTTCAGGACAAAGCGTCCAGCACATACCTTGTCTTACTTTTTCCTCGTTGTTTATGGATTCATTATTTTCGGAATAAAATATGAGTATCTTTTTAACCACCGTATCGATGCTTCACCATACATTTCGAATTAATTATTTTTAGTCTCTATTAAATAAACACCAGGAAATACGTTTATTACTAAATACTTTTTTTAAAATGACATTCTTTAAGTAAACGTAACAGTCTATTTAAAAGCAGATGCAAAGTTATTCCTTTAAAAAGATGAATTTGCATAAACCACGTGATACTGGAAATGTCCATAGTTCACAGAAATTGGTATAGTGGACTAGCGAACTAGACCGTCCCGATAGCCAACTAAGTCAAAGAGCACGCATACGCAGAGAGACTGTAGTGAGTGTGTGCAATGGAAGAGTTTGTTCCGGACGCAAGCAGTTAGTCAACATTATTAATTATTGAGAGCCTATCTCTATATATATTTTTATGTTAATGTTTATTGTTGGAAATAAAAGCATAAAAAACATAACATAAATATATTGAGGGGGTGAAAAAAAAGATTAGCTGATGACGTCGTCCGCCAATCATTTGATTCTATTGTTTGTCAGCCAATTATCTGATTCTATTGTTAGTCAGCCAATTATTTGATGCTATTGTTAGTCAGCCAATCATTTGATGCTATTGTTAGTCAGCAAATTAAAATTAATTTTTAAATTCTGAAATGCAGGGTCGGGACCAGTAGTCACGTCTGATCACTTTCTCGCTGTTCACCATTATTATTATTATTTTTTTTTTTTAAAGCATGAACTATCCGATTGACCCAATAGATAACAATTTGACAATGTGATTTGAAAATATACACGAGCAATTTATCTAGCATAAAAATTTATATAGTGTTAAAACTATTTAATTGTGAGGCATGGGCGCCCGCAGAAACCTTTCTAGGAGGGGGGGGGGGAAATCGATTAACCTTCCAGGTGGGGGGGGCAAAAAATATTTAGTAATGTTTAATATAGTTTTAATTTACTGTAGCGTATTTGTATGGTGAACGAACGGACAGGACATCAGCTTAGTTACTTTCTCTTTATTTTCTCTTTACTTTAATAAATGTTTTGTCCATTTTTGCCTAAAATCTTTGTATCCGATCAATCAAGGGGGGCAAGTGCCCCCCCTGCCCCCCCCCCCTGCGGGCGCCCATGTTGTGAGGCAAAAAAAAAAAAAGAAGTTAAATGTAAGACAGGACATCAGCTTATTTACTTTTTCTTTTTTTTCTCTTTACTTTAATAAATGTTTTGTCCATTTTTGCCTAAAATCTTTGTATCCGATCAAGCAAGGGGGGCAAGTGCCCCCCTTGCCCCCCCCCCCTGCGGGCGCCCATGTTGTGAGGCAAAAAAAAAAAAGAAGTTAAATGTATTAGAGTAGTTTGTTTAGCGATCTTCCATCTGAAGTATTGAAGTATCTTCCTAAAAGTCTGTCTTTTCAATCATTGTTTGGTTCTATGATTCTCAACGTTGCCCAATCGCTGAGCTGTACCGTTAATGTTCTGTTCCAGTGAAAAGAGAGCCGACCTTCCAATCATCCTTGCACACTTCACGTCAACTTCTAAGACAGCTTCTATGTGTTCGGTCATCAGCTCTTCGCTGTACGAGGGAGGTATATTCTGAAAGATTAAAAACAAAAATTATATATTCATTTTATAGATTATGGTTTCTCTGTTTCATTATAATTTTGCAAAGTTCAGTTTTTGGACACTTAAATTTAATTGTTGAAATATTGGAATGTTCTACAGGCTTATTTTTGAAAGCATTTAACTATCACGACAATAAAATAAAAGGCATATGGCATATTACATTTTTTATCAATACGGTTTTAATGTCATGTTTTACTACATACTCTTGCAACATTGTCATGCATTTGGACACATCTGGAAAAGGGGGGTGAGGGGCAGTCACTAATTTGTGAGGATTGGTAAAAAGGTTGTCTAAGTTTTATGATAAACGTGTAACAATAGGGAGGGGGTGTCAAAATTCGCTAAACTAGTGCGTTGTCATTATTCACATATATGAAACCCCCCCCCCCCCCGTTTTAGTGAAGTCAACTGAATTTGTACGTTGCACTGACTCACATCAAGAACTATTAAACTTGTTTCCATTGCTTCTAGATTCAATTTATTTTTAGATGTCCTGACTTCATCACATTTAGCACCAGACAATGTTTGCGGTATTCGCTGTGGAATAATATTTCATTAAATAAGTACTCACTTAAAATACCGGAATCAAATTCTTTTAAAACAATGATAACTTTACATTCGATTAAATTCAACAAAACAAGTTTTGATTTATGTCGTCAACTCACCCGAGTTAAAAAAAAAAAAATTCCATTTATAAAAAGTATCTTAGAGATAGTCAGATTAGTTATTAATATTAATGTGTTTTTTAATCTTAGATATTTCATTTTTTTTTAAATATACATAACTATGGGCGCCTGTAGTATAGGTTTAGGTTTGTCACTTGACGCCCACCCCGCTATGGAAAACACATACAATGATAAAAATAAAAATAGGACCTTCATCATGATTAAAAATAAAAATCATTTAGAATAATTAATCAGGACTAATTGATGACGTTGTCTCTCAGTAAGTCACGTTGAAAAATAGTAATACTTTGAATTTAATATTTAATTGACTCTTTGTAAATATTTTTTTTTTTGGTTACATGGAAGGCCATGGAAGTGTGGTGAAGGGTAGTTCGGCCTTGGCGCGCATTTATTTCTCAATAATAAGGGTCGGTATTTTCAGCCCACTTGAAAGGTTTCTTTATGAAAAGGTGCGACCCGCCCCTTATCATCATCACCATCAGTGGCGCCATAGTCTATGAAGGGCTCTGACCGACCCCACAAATCCTTCGATTCGGGCAGATCAATAACACCACAGCCCATTTGTAGGGATCTGTCTTGCTTCATCACATCCGTCCATTCGGCTCGATCCATGGCACTACAGCTCATGTAGGGAAGTAGCTTGTTTCATTACATCCCTCCATTCTGGTCGATCCATGGCGCTACAGCCCATGTAGGGAAGTAGCTTGTTTCATTACATCCCTCCATTCTGGTCAATCCATGGCGCTACAGCCCATGTAGAGAACTAGCTTGTTTCATTACATCCCTCCATTCTGGTGGATCCATGGTGCTACAGTCCAAGTAGGATTCTGACTGGCTCACCCACTACCTCCCATTTGGATTGAACTATGACTTTTTGCCTACATGTTCGGGCCTCCAGCCGATGTAAGGGATTCTCTGCATCCTCTTTGTGATGACCCTGAAGTAGTTGCCTTCCTATACGTCCTCGCGGGTCCTATTATAAGGGAGAATCAATGTGACCAGGTCATTTTTAAATCGCGCTGACAGCAGCAATCTAATACGCTCCTTGGCATTTTGGCTAAGATCAAAGCAAAGTATATCTTTTCCTGTCGAGTTATCAAACTTGTTTGGATGGCTCTTGTTATCTCGCTTTGCATTTGGTCATAGCCGGGAAGATCGGTGCAATAAATAAGAGAGACACCATGCCAAGAAACCCACAAGGTAATATCCCGGTAGAGCAATACATCTTGGGGCTGCCCTGAAGTAAAATAACTTATTTCACTGTTGGTATGTGTAAGAAGCCCTGACCATTCTTGCATCCTTATTTATTCTGTTTTTGAGATGGGCGGATTCGCTAGATTGTTATCTCTATCGCTTGGGGGTAGTCCCAAACGACCACACTGCTGAACGACCACACTGCTGAACGACCACACTGCTGAACGACCACACTGCCTCCATTGGAGTGTATGTCTTGCATGATGTTTAGTGCTGCATTTACCATTTTTGCTTCTAATGAGCCCATTCACATAGCTCAAGGAGCAAGCTTTGAGCCAGTAAATACTACGATGTTTGGAAATATGGTTTAACTGTTTCAGAGCCATTAGATTAGCTTCGATTTCTGCATCGCTAATGGTGCTATTCTTTCCCCTCGGGCCCAAAATCTCCTCTGTTGGAGGTGCCCCTTTTGGGTACTGTATGAGTGTGCCGTACAAAGGGGCACTGAAGGCGGCTAATGTCGCTCAACTGTGTTTAAAAACAATATTCCTAGTAAGTTTGAAACAGACGAATAAGATTTACTTTTCTATTCAAAGGGAAAAGTTATTTGGGTTAGCGAATGTTTCGTTGAGGAATGGAATCGAGGAACGGATTAATTTCCTTAGCCGACGTTCCATGATACTTAAAATACACAGAAATTAAGCTTAAGTCTTACTTAGAGTTAGAGTTCTTTTGAGGAAATGTGTAGTTCTGTTTGTAGGGCCATTGTGATTGTGTAAAAATGTCTTTGCAATCCTTCCTCTCAACTTAAACTTAAACCAACTCAACGTATGGTTTTACTGTACCGGTGGAAATAAATCTTTTTGAAAGAGATATGGTTAAACTTAAAGTAAGGTCTCTCATTGTGGCTGTGAGTACACAGAGGCGATATTTATACGGTTGGATGCATTTAGAAATTGAACGTCTTCAAAAATATTAAGTATAAAATGGGAATTCCCAATTTTTTTTCACCCATAGATGGCCAGCTTGCAAAGCTATAAAATTGAAACTCAATGGACAATTTTTAAAAAATCGGGAATTTGAGAAGAAATCGAGTGCTTTTCAAAAGGTTTTTGTAACTTTAAGGAAGGTTAGTTCCTATTTCTTGAAAATCCAGATTGATTATTGATTATTCCTTGATTTTAATGTTATTAAATATGGATAATATATCTCTAAGCAATGTTATTTTGTGGACAAGCTTTAGAGTAATTATAATTTTATTTTTGTATCCAAAAGAAAAGAACTCAGACATATTTATTATTTAATTTATCTTCCTTTTCTTACAAAAATGAAGAAGAAGAACAAATTGATTTCCTATCAACTTTTCCATGGTCCATATTCAATAATTAAATAAATTGTTTAGGTCCAGGCCAATATAAATATAAAAATTAGTTAATTTAGTTTTATGGTTAATTTTAAAAATGTTAAACACAAGTAAGTAGAGTTACTACTACCACTAGGCCCTACTCGTATTTTTAAAGCATTATTTAACTAATCTAATTGTTTCAGGTGTTTTCCTTTCAGACAGAAAAACCAAAGTAAAATAACATCCTGCATAAATGCTGAAATAAACTTGAAATTCCTTTACCTGGTTAACGCTTATTTACATCCTTCGCCAACTCATCTATTAACAATTTCTTATTAATCTTATCTTGTTGTTTGCTGCCACTCACTTTTGCAGTAAGCCTATGCTATACTATATTGAATATAGACCGTTTAGTAACAGAAAGTTAAAACAAAATCTTTAACTTTTCTCTTGAATGACAAAACCTAGCAGTATGAGCTATTACTTTTAGAATCATCGTCATCATTTTACCATTCTAGAATCACCATCACTGCCATCACCATTCATGAGAATACATGTTACTGTGGGAATACCCACAGTTCTGCCACGCGCTATACCGGGAAAGCAATTTGTATTTTTATAATTGTGTTGCCTATGCATAGTCCCACATCATCGGGACTCATCTTCTTATTAAGGAATGTTTATAGGTTTAACTAGTCTTCTATGAGCTTGAAATTTTAATTTTAAACTTGAATTTAGAAGCAGTTTTAAAACTGCCATCGGGTAAGACTGTTGCTAACTTCTTGTGGCGTAATGTTAAATAATAATAATAATAATTACAAAGGTCGCATGACATAAAATAATATCATATTATTACTACCGCATTAGAGTTAAATATAGGCTATTCACTTTCAGTTTCATACTCTACATGTTATGACATTTTTTATTATATTTTATTTCTCTGATTTCTCTGATTTGTTTATTATTGAGTTATTAAAAAAAGGCCCCTAAAGGAGTTTTATTTTTTTCCATTTTGATTACTGGCGTAAAAACTACATGTTATGACATTTTTTATTATATTTTATTTCTCTGATTTCTCTGATTTGTTTATTATTGAGTTATTAAAAAAAGGCCCCTAAAGGAGTTTTATTTTTTTCCATTTTGATTACTGGCGTAAAAATTGTGTTAGATTCTAAGTTAGATCTCAGGGTTAGTAACAGTTTTGTTTGCTGGCTTTTGGCTTTTAAGTCTGATCATTTTTTTAAAGACGTAGATGTTTACATAGGCTCAAGCCCAATGGCCGTGCAAAGGGCCATGCAAAGCAATGGGGCTTTATCATTTTGTTATATGGTGTTATATGGTGTTATATTGTTATATGGTGATAAATTGTGTTATACTTTGTTATTTTGTTTTATTTGATGTTATATGGTGTTATATAGTGTTATATGGTGTTAAATTGTGTTATATTATTTTTATTATTATTATTAGGATGAGGTTTTATATAGCGCAGTACCCCAGCCTAGTACTAGGCTCACTGCGCTTCACATAAAAAGTAGCAATTACATAAACGTATACATTTTAAAACAACAATTGGTGAAAAGCTTGACCTCACCCGCCCAAGTGCTATCTACCCCTGTCTAGCCATGGACAGCACCCATCAGAATATAGCGTTGTTTTTTAGTCAGAGGAGGTGAGAATGAGTCGATATAGTAAAGTTTGAAGATATGGGTCTTGAGGGCAGTTTTGAAGACTGTGATGGTCGTTATATAGCGGGTGTGTAATGGGAGAGAGTTTCATTGTTTTGGGGCACAGAAAGAGAAAGGTCGTTCACCATATGTTTTAGTGCGTGTTCTGGGAACAGAAAGATTACACGTGCCTGTATAGAGAGCCAATGAAGTGAGTGGAGAAGTGGTGTGACGTGATCACGTTTATTTGCCTTTAGAACTAATCTAGCAGCTGATTTTTGAAGTTTCTGCTGTTTTGCTATAAAATGTTTTGGTGGACCTGACAGAAGAGATTTACAATAGTCAAGACGAGAGAGAACAAGAGCACAGACTAGGGTTGTTGTTGCGCTGACTGTGTGGTAGTGGTGGAGGGAGCTGATCTGACGGACAGTGGAGTACGCAGAGCGACAGTTGTGATGATTATTGAGACTGCGTGGCACGTTGTCAGAAAAAAAAAATTAACCAAGATTCCAAGCAGACGATGTGAACTCTATATCGATGTTAACAAAAAACCCATATAACACAATATATCACTATATAATACAATATAACAAGCATTAAATATGGTGTTGGAGAGGTAGAAAACAATATTATACATGTAGTTTTTTTATGTTATTATTTTTTTTAAATCGGCCGTTTTTTGTGTGCAATATTTGTGCCTTTAAAATTTACAAAATGTTTCCAGATTATTAACTTGGACTTGGACATTTTTTCTCCTTTTCAGTACCTTCTATTTGTAACTATGTATTAGTCATGGGGGTGGGTTACTAAAAAAAAAATTTGACTGACGTTTTTTTTTTCCCCTTGAGGTCTTCATATCTAAGCAGCTGTTTTATTTTATACAAATATTAAGTAAAATAAATGACTATATAATATGTTGTATAATGTATATAACTTATATAATAATGATAACATTTAGGATTAACATTAATGCATAATGGCTGTCTTGTTCAGGGTTGAAATGGCTGGAAAGACTTTGCCATTGTATGCTTGTAATTAGTTTTTGTAGTGTTGCGTTTGTTTTAAATGTGGTATATTATAGATTTGTTTTTATGTTGACTTTGTACCGCGTTTCGAGCCTTTGGGGATGAAGCGTGTTTTTGAAATGAACTTTATTATTATTATTATTAACATTGTTATAATTAGATACACTGACGGCCTATTGGAAAAGGAATGTATTGCAAAAATTATGACAGTATGAATAAAGAAAGCTTGAAATAAATTGTTTTTAAGTATACCGTGGTCCCATTGTATGATTGTTTTAAAGTATACCGTGGTCCCATTGTATGATTGTTTTAAAGTATACCGTGGTCCCATTGTATGATTGTTTTAAAGTATACCGTGGTCCCATTGTATGA